CCATGGCCTGGGTACATCTTTGTCAAATCGTGCGCCTTTGAGATGGGCCACCGTGATGCTGGTGGGCATCTCTGGGATCTGTGAAGTTTCCTGAAAATTCAGCAAGCTGGAAAGGCCTCAGTCCTCAGAGCTCCAGGGATCCCCAAGAGGACACAGGAGCGAGGGCCCCTCAGCAGTACAAAATATTGTTGAATCTCGGGAGTATTTCAGGGAACGTGTGGCATTTTTAGGAGGCTTTTATTTAGCTATACTCTGCTTTATGCGGTAGGGATGGGCCCAATCAGTTGAGTGGCTTGTCTGTAATTAACGTCTCAGAGGCAGTGGAGAGCTATGGATAAGCGCTCCAGCTCTGGAACCAGACCACCTGTGTGCAGATCCTGGCTCTGCCACAGCTCTCTGAGACCCTGCATGGTCACATGGCAGAGTTGTGCTCCATTTCCCTCCTCTGTAAATGTAACAGTACCTGCTTGGACCTTGTTGGGTCATTAGGACCAGCGAACGAGGCAGTTCCTGTAAAGCAATTAGAAGAGCACTTGGCTGCAGTGTTAGCAAAGAGCTTGTTGTCTCAGCGAGTCTGGGCTGTTGTAACAAAATACCACAGACTGCGTGGCTTGTACGCAACAAACGTTTATTTCTCACAATTCTGGAGGCTGGGAAGTCCAAGGTCATGAGTGGCAGATTTGATGTCTGGTGAAGGCCTGCTTTCTGGTTGCAGACTGCCTGCTGTTCGCCCAGTGGAAGGGGCAAGGAATCTCTCTGTGGCTCCGCCCTCATGACCCAATCAACCCCAAAGGCCCCGCCTCCTAACACGGTCACATTGGGGATTAGGTTTCAACATAAGAATTTTGGGGGGGGACACAGACTTTTAGTCCATACCACTTATTAAGGAAATAATAAACATGTATTCTAACAGTTTGGTTCCATAAAGTTGTACATTATTTTCAAGGGTCTCAGATTGAATCCTTTTCTAAAATGAGGAAACATTTTGTAAAGTAAATAATTATTTCTGATATTATGTATTATACGTTTGAATTTTCATATATTAAATTTGGGTAAAATGATAGATGTCATGTTACATTTCCTCTCTTAATATAACAATGTTAATTTTAGGTAATAGCTAACCTTTTTTTAGCACCTACTAGCCTGTATCTGAAGTACTGTTCCTGTTGCTTGTTATGTATTAACTAATTTAATCTTCCTGGTAACTCGCTACATTAATTACTGTTATATTTCTCACGTTACGGTGAGGAATCTGGGTATAGAGAAGTTAATTGGCTTGCCCAAATTCACACACTTAACCTGTGGTGATTCTTTATTTCTAGCTGCTGTATATGTCATGAATTCCCTATTCTGGAAAGTTCTCAGGCAGAAGTAGTACAACTACTTGTTGGGGGCTGGGTGGTAGGGGGTGCTATCAGAGGGGCCTGAAGCATTTGATCGGGTGCACCTTCAGAACCTTGGTTGTAGGTAACAGACGTGACTTGTCAATTCAGGCAGAAAAGTCATGCATCTACCAATGCATACCGTTTAGCACACAGGATCCACAGAAGGCTAAAGAACAGGGGTGAGCAGAAATTGAGGAGGCAAAGCCCCCTGCCCCAGTCTGGGAGGATACTGTTAACTCTGGAGGGCCTCCACCAACCCGGCTGCTACCGCGGCCCCCAGGCCTGGCCACGGAAAACAACTTCCAACGGCCCGTCCCCCTGCCCAGACCTCTGGATGCAGCTCGCTGGCAGGAGCATCTCACTGGCCAGGCTCAGGTCACGTGACACACTCCAGTTGCTTCCCTCCTTCGTTCACCCTTAGGTTTGGCACCTGGAAAGCAGAGTCTGTTCCCCTTTTATCTAGGGTGTCCTTACCCCAACCCCTGCCTGAAAATAAACAGGAGAGTTTTGAGGTGATAGGCAGCCAAAATGACAAATGTCCCTTCCGTTAAGAGACTTCGACTAGATGCTTCCCAAGTTCCCTGGTAGCCCCACGATTCTGAGTCTACTCTTTATGAGGGCTGGTATTTCCCTGGAGCACCTGGAGTGGAGCTCTATACCGATTAGGCTTCCATGAATGTTTCTCACTGAAGATAATGAGTATGTTGGCCTTTGTCACAAAAGAAAATAAGGATGCACACTTATTTATAAGCTCTAGCTTTTTGATTCAGAGCAGAGTGTTTGAGCTGTGAGCTTTTGTTTATCAGGAAAGAAGTTGATGTTTATCGTTCTTCTTCACAAAAGGAGGCAGAAAAGCACTTAAACCTTTAAATGTCTCCGTGTACACATTTAAGTGCTTAGTGGTTATATTGCAATGAATTCGTTGAGTGGAGCTGTAGAACAAACCTCATTTTGATCATTATCTACCTACTTATCTCCACATACTGACTCCTTTGCCTACTTCCACCAATGTGATCATCATTCTGGTTTCCTTCTTCATCATCCCTCATCCCCCTTCCCTAAGTCAGTTTCCAAGCACTGGCTTTTCACCGCTTGGCGTTCTCTCCTTAATACCTGTCCTGCCCCACGTGCTCCCAGCCCGTGCCGCCCCACACCTGGGTTAGGTCTTCCCGCACCACCCCGTCTCACCCACTTGATCTTCTCAGCGAGGTGCTTTCCTCTTTTTACACCCACTGTGCTTCTTAAAGGCACAGTAATGCTTTCTTGTTGCTCATCTGTGTAGCAGAGCAGGTAAGAGGGCTCTGGCGACAGATTCAGATCCCAGCTCTGCTATTCAGTGTTTTTATTAGTGAGAGGTGTATCCAGAAGTAATGAACAAAACCACCATATAGTGAGTGCCTTAACCAAATATGAGTATTTTCTCCCCATGGCAGGAAGTCTGAGGAGAGGCAGCTGCAGCATCTCATGATATCAGAGGCCCGGCGCCTTCTCTCTTTCTGCTCAGTCATTCTAGAGGGTAGCATTTGTCCTCATGCTTCTCACTTCCTGGCCGCCCCACCTCCAGTATTGAGTCTGTGTCCCGGGAGGAAGAAGGACCAGGGCTGAGGGCAAAGTGTATGCCAACTGCAGGTGCCCTCCCCTTAACTTCTGCCAACATCCTGGTCTAGGATGGAGTCACATGTCCACCCCCGAGTTTTTGACGAAGTGTGTCTCCAGTGGGATCAGAATAAGGGACCAAGTGTCCATTTTACATCCTACACCATCATCCGCATGGGCTTATTAACTGCTTATACTTCGCTTCTTAATATATTTTTTAGGGCAGGTTTCCACAGTAAACCAACCAGCACAGTATTTACTGTGACTTTCTCTGTGAATACCGTTTAAAATCCTGGAATTCTTTCCTGTCCTCTCACCCCTTCACTTTACCTGTATCATGACCGTCTCTGTGGCTGCTTTGTCTCTCAGCCCCAGCGCCCTGCCCCTCCCTCCTCGGGCACCCATGAATCCCGAGCATCCCACCTGTCCTTCTCCTCCGCTCCCGGGCTGCAGGGAGTGTCGCTGGAGAAAAGGGGCCACGTGGTGCCATAGGTGCCACCGCCTGTCCACGTGGTGCCGTAGGTGCCACCGCATGTCCATCAGTCTTTGAGGTGACCCTGATGGGAGCTGTCTGTCCTCTCAGGGTGAAGGTTTTGTTGCTGTTTAAGGCTTTTCTGTTCATTTAAAAACCTCCTCGGGAGAAGGCCTCACGTGAGAGGCCCATTGTTCCAGGGGCCTGGCTTTCTAACTCATCTCTGCACTTTCTTCTCTGCCTGCTAGTTCCCCTCAGGTTGCCTCCCCAGTCTCTCTTTCTCTCTGTCTCTTTCTCTGTCGTTCTCTCTAATAAACACACACACACACACGCACCCCTGCATACACAGACCTTCCGTGCCATGGGTTTGCTCCCGGGTATGTAGGCCGGAGACTCTGGGGGCCCCCTTCACTCCCTCCATCTCACCAGCTACCCGCTCCTTCCTTGGGTGGCCCTTCCTTGCTGATTCTAATTCAGACACATTTCTTGCTTCTGTCCTTGTTTCTGAAGTCCCTGGACCATTCTATCCACCTTATTCCTGGCCTTCATCCACCCTGGTCATACACCCCCCTGGTCATACAGCCCCCTCATCCCATGATCTCCCTTAGGTTCTGACATGGTCATGTCACTCTGTGCAGAAACCAGAGGCTCCTCATGGATTGGGTGACCTGCAATTGTAGATCTCCCGCCTCGGGCGGGCACTGAGGAGACAGAGAAGACAGGATCTCTGCCCTGGATAGTTTCTCAGAGTGGGACTGGGCTGGGCTGGGCTGGGCTGGGCTGGACTGGGTTGGGCTAGGCTGGGTTGGGCTGGGCCGGGCTGGGCTGGGCTGGGCTGGACTGGGGTGGGTGAAGACATCACATTAACACAGGTATGAACTCTGGGAGCACAGAGGAGGGAGAACCAAAACTGGGGAGGGGGAGGGAGATGGAACAACTCAGACAAGGAGCCGCCACGTCAGACTCTCAGTGACGCGGCCCCAGCCGCGCCTGCCTCCTGGCCGCCCGTGCCCGCAGCTGGGTTTATACTGGACCACTTGTCATTGGCACGTCGAAGCATCCTCTTTCGTGCCTCCACGCCCTTGTTTGTCCCCCCTCTTCCCGGAGCACCGTTTCTGAATCCTAGCTGTGTTTTCTCCCTTCTCATCCAACAGAACTGGCTCAAGTACCAGTCTTCCAGGATGCCGTTCCGATGCCCGTGACCACTTTCCCACAGTACTTTCTGTTTCCTCCTCTTGGGACACTTGTCAGTTGGGACCTTGTATTTGAGTAGTTTGTGTACCTGCCTCTTTGCCTGTATTGGATGAAAAGCTACTTGGGATCAAGGGTTGTGTTGTAGTCAGCTGTGGATTGCCCCCGGCTTCTGGCCCAGGGGGCTGCCTCGGGGGGCGCCTCGGGAGGGTTCGGAGGAGCAGGGTGCTTTAAGCATTCCAGGGAAGCCGATGTGGTAGGACTGCTCTTAGTGCGCACAGACGCACACTCACACCTGCCCAGCTGCGCCACCAGCAGTTCTTACCTGTCTGCATTTGTTCTTCTCTCCAATCCAGTGCTTAGAAAGAGCCATGAAGTTTGCCTTTGAGGAGTTCCACCTCTGGTACCAGTTTGCTCTGTCACTCATGGCTGCTGGAAAAGTGAGTCTCCCTTTCTGACATGCAATCCTCTGTGTTGGTGGTTAACTTGAATTTCATGGGATGACGTGATGCCTGGTAGATGTCTACACCAGCTATTTGAAACTGTCCTGTGGTCATTTATAAATGAGTGATCGAATGTAATTATTTGGGGGCCAACATGGACACATCATTGAGAAGAAAATTTTGAAATTCTTGCCTTTTTCTAGTGTTTGTAACTTTATTTATCTGAAGCTGTGGCTTAAAACTAAGGTCAGTTCTTCACACTGACCCCTTTCACTCATTTGAGAGTGTAAACTATTCCCGGCAGGGGAAATCTGCTAATTATCTGTAGCAAGATGTGATCTGAGACCGTGTACGGTATTGGCTGAAAGCAAGGGCTGTGGAGAGAGAGGCCTGGCGCTGACCTCGAAGCCGTGTGACCCATGGCAGGTCACTTAGTGTCTTAGCTTCCTCTTCCGTCTCATGGAGAAATGGTACCGACTTCACAGAACTGTCATCAGGTAGTGAGATGATACCCACAAGGTGTTTAGCATAGGACCCCCAAAACGAACACACTCAATAAAGATAATAGCCACTGTTATTCTTGTTAATTTGGGCCCTTTAGTGAATTGTAAAGTCTGAGACACAAGATTATTGGGGCGAAGTGGAGTGGTATGCTTTCCATTCTGAATGGTATGCTTTAAATTAGATAGTTTCTTTTTTATAATAATGTAAACCTCCACTGTCTTTATTTTTTTCTTACTTTTACAATGGCTACACAAGTAGGGAATAAAACTAGGGGGATTCGGGGCAGCGTTTTCACTTGTTTTAACCACAGTTTACTCCCCGGTCCCCCAAAAGTTCCAAGCTCAGGTTATCTCCATCCCCAGGCCCTTGCTTCACTGGGTGAAAGTTGGAAAACCTCATTAAGAGTGTATCCTAACCAGAAACCCCACTGGGAAGGCTTTAGTATTTGGTTCTGTCAAAAATTTTGAGTTTCACAGAAATGATCTCCTTTTGCCAAGTCTGCTCGCGCGGTGAAGGTGCTGAAAGAGTGCATCCGCCTGAAGCCGGACGACGCCACCATCCCACTTCTGGCCGCAAAGCTGTGCATGGGCTCCCTTCACTGGGTGAGTGGGGCTGGGGCCCTCCGCGTGTGCGGGGGCTGCCACCCTTTTGATTCCTAGGCAGAGAGGAAATAGTAGCAGTGCATCAGCTACACAAAAGCAAGGCTGTTCAGAGCCCCGGGCTTCTGGCCCAGGCTACAGCCCTCCTCAGGCCTCAACCCCACCCCAAGGACTTCGGGGAATCAGTACAACTCCAGGTTTTTCTTTTCCATGGGAATGTGCTTCAAAAGTAGAAATGGTAAGATGGAATTGGAATTCCTACTCAGATGCATCCTGTATGTAAGTCATATGGGACTGAAAAAGTCTATGTCACTCAGTGATTCCCTCCTAGGAGAGCCTGAGCTTTTCTGTAAAGCCAAGAGTCAACCTCTACTTTAGCTCATGTGTAAACCCAGCTTCCTTCATTCCTCTTCCTGCACAGAGGCTTTCCGCTTCCAATGTTCTTGTTCAGCTTTGAATCTGGGAAGAGCCTGATTTGTAACAATTGTAGTACCTCAAAAACGTACTGTTTGAGCAGAAACTAGAAAACTCAATTGCTCGCCACATACGATGGAGTTTTAATGTCTTTCTCTAACTTCATGTCAAGGTTAGTGATAAGAAGAAGTTGCCCAAAAGACTGAGGCACGTGGCTAAGGTTTTTTACCATGACGGTCCTTGCTGCTCTTTTTTTTCCATTTATTCTCACCCAGCAGGGCGAAAGTAAACATTGTGAAGAAAGTGTCCTACTTTGGTCAAATTTTTCTTGGGAAAGTGTGGAAGAAAAAACACGTTTTGAAATGTGGCTCTCACCTGAAACACAGCCGTGAAGGTGTTGTGTGGCCCGTGCAGGTCTTAACACTTTGGTGTGGCAAGTGAGGGGACATGCAGGCAGGCCCCGAGAGTGGCTGGAGCAGTGGACCGAATCTTTCGGTTTGAAAATGCCAGCTTCCAGCTGTGACTCTGCCACACTCCTTCCAGCGATGGCATCGTTCATCGCCGTAACACCTAACATAAACCTGACTCTCTTTTACAAGATGAGAATAACAAATCTTTTCTGTATATTTTTTACATTTTTATCATTAAAATTTCCAAATACCGCAAAAGTAAGGAGTATAATCAACTATCATCCATGTACTATCACCCAGCTTCAGTAACATCAACACTTACCGTACCCCGAAGGAGCAAATCTTATTACTTTTGCCTCTAGTGAGCTGTGCAAAAGGTCTTATTGTGGGTGTAGTTTACAGGTGCACATTCTTCCCTTTGGAATCTGCCAGTGCGAGGTCTGTGTGCGGTGTACTGTAAAATAAATAGATGGAGTTTTGAAATTTCTAACAGCTTGTGGGAAAGAGAATCCAAGCCTAAAAGATTCTTTATGTCATGCAAACAAGGAAAGACCCAAGCACAAAATATTTCAAGAACTTTATTCTTTACAAATTATACATACATGTATACGTAACTTCTGAATACCTAGCACAATCTAATCACAGAGCCAATCAGTGAAAAACAGAGACGACAAAGAGCCCCACCAAGTATGCAAGTGACCTTGGAAAAGAGGGCAAAAAAGCGATAAGGAAAGGTTGAAAGCAAAAAGGCAAGGTGGGAATCCTGAGGACTCTTGAGAAGCTGAAATACAGAAAACAGAATCACCAGAGTGGAACTGGAAGATCTGGGAGTTATTTTCACAGTGACTCATCAGAAATCGCTTAGGACAGCAGATGCTTACGGGAACTCATGTTAGAAATTCTGCAGGATGTTGGTGTTGTTTTTAACTTACCTGGTTTTTCAGTTGGAAGAGGCTGAGAAGTTTGCCAAAACCGTCGTTGATGCGGGAGAGAAAACGTCAGAGTTCAAGGCCAAAGGCTACTTGGCCCTGGGGCTTACGTACAGTCTGCAGGCCACTGACGGTGAGCGAAGTCCCCGCCCACGGGAGCTGGGGAGCCACCAAGTCTGCACTGCAGGACCGGCCCATCCCCTGTCTCAGGAGGGCACATGGCCGGTTCCTCGTTTGCCGTCCTGTGGGGACCTGCCACCGCTGTCCTCTTTGCTTGGACCGGTCGGAGAATGGGAGGGAAGAAATGCAGGCCCTGTGCCCCGGCTCCCAGGCCCTCTTCACAGGTGCACTGTGCTGGTGGTGCCCAGCTGGCAGCTGTAGGGATCTGTCCTGAGGAGTGAGGTGAGCAGGGCCCTGAGAGAGAATTCACCCCACCCGGCCTTCACCTGACTCTGCCCCAGCGCTTGGCCTGAGCTCTCCCCATGTGGAGGGATGTTGGGTCTTAGGCTAGGAATGTAGAAGCATTCAGGGCCACCTCCTCCAGAAAGCATCCCTTGATTTATCAGTACCTGCCCCTTCTCCATTTGCACTTTTTTTTTAAAAAAAAACAACTCTTTTTTATTTATTTATGTTTTGGCCACTCCGCGCAGCATGTGGGATCTTAGTTCCCCAGCCAGGGATCGAGCCCATGCCCCCTGCAGTGGGAGCGCGGTGTCTTAACCACTGGACCGCCAGGGAAGTCCCCATTTGCACATTTTAATTCACAGATACGTACACGTGTAGTATAGTGGCTCACAGCACATGCAGTGACATTACACGTTTGGGATGTATTTGCTGTTTTGGTGGATGGGCTTCCGGCTAAAAAAAAAAATCTTAATTATGTTTTCTATACTTAACGAGTTTTCAATTATATGTTTGCAGAAAGGGTAAATTGGTAAATTGTTTTTCTGAACTTTCTATTATTCCTTTTACATTTTGTTGTTAAATGTAACACAAATACCAAAAAAAATCTCAAAAATGATTGTCCAACTCAGTGAATTAGTATAAGGGAAAGTATTCTTATAAGCAGCACCCTGCTTAGGAGATAGAACCTAGCCAGCTACCTGGGAGCCCTTTACGTGCCCCTCCCAATCACAAGCCCCCTTAAGAGAAGACACTACCCTGACTTTTATGGTATTCATTTTCTTTTGCTTTCTTTGTAATTCTGCTATAGTTTATTTTACATGTTACCCCAAATCTTTCTTTCCTCTGCCCTAAAATATCAAAGACCCTGGAGAAGTTTTGCATATCAACTAATTTTCAATCATAGATTTTTTGGCTAATTTTTCATATATACTGGCAATACCCAGAACATTTTTTTAACTATAGTAGGCTTTCAGTGAAGGGTAAATTTCATAGCATATGTTTATCCATATAACTTCTTAGTTGAGACTCTACACCTAATTAACCCTGTAATTTTGGGAGAGTCACGTGACCCTGCTGGGTCTCATCTGTATCCAGGGTTCCCTTGGGACAGCTCTCTGGGTGCCTCTAGCTCATTCACTGTTGTTCTAAGTTAGTCATGGCTTACAGCTACAGCCAGCTCTGGGCAGCCTTCCACCATCCTCAGCGCGATGTCAGGATGGGATCTGCCATGTTGGATTTGTTAGATAAGGACCATCTCCAGGTGCAGCCATCAACAGGTTCCTCTAGGAGTTTTTCTGTTGTCCCCGTAAAAAGTACCTTTTTAGTTTCTACAAGACTCTAAGGTGGCATTTCTCACATGCTGTTTACAGGGGAAGCGTTGAGCTGATTTTCCAGTATCAGTGTTGGGTTTGCCCTGTCTGTCCCTGGTGTTCACATCAAGGCATTAAAGGTCCTAGCCATTGCCTCCGTGAATTAAACTGGCCTTCCATGGCATCAGGCTAGTGTCCTTGGTTTTCGGTGCCAGAAGGAACTCTGAAGGCCGTCAAATCCACCCACTGGGGCTTGAATCTCTTCTCTTCCATTCTGGCAGAGCCATTCTTCACCCGTGAATTACATGCCTGCCCTTGAGAATGTTTTCCTCTCTGGAGTTCCCAGCTGGTCTTTTGAAGACAGGCTGCTATCCTGGGGCTACCAAGAGTGACCAGCCAACTCTCACTCTCGCCTTGGCATGGTTCCACAGTTATGCCCAACAAGTGCAAGGGCCTCAGGCTGACACGGCCTTCGTTTCCCATCCTCGACAGTGCCTGGGACAGGACTGGGCACATAAGCTCCCAGAATTTGTTGCTCTTAATCCAGTCAAATGTTTAGTTTTTGTGATGAGTTTTCTATTTGTCAGAAACTCCCTGATCTCCCATGCCACTGACTAATCGAACCCTTTTCTTAGCTTCTTTGCGAGGGATGCAGGAGGTCCTACAGAGAAAGGCGCTTCTTGCATTTCAGAGGTGAGTGGGAGTTCATCTTTTCACTCGGCTGTACATAATGACACCAAAGTATGATAAGTATAAAAAGAAGAGATATTTATAAAGATTATGTAAACAGTGTTTTACCCCTGGGAGTCTTTCCTCCCGAGTACCGAACAGACAGTATAAAACTTGCTGCATCACTTGTTGCCATGTAAATCTGCATCCTTGATATGTTTATTCATTCGGGCACATTTTATTCATTCCTAATAAAGCGATTTCAGCTCTAAGAGAGGTACTTTTTTTATGTCTAGGGAGATGATTCCTTTTATTAAAGACATTTTTTATCATCTAGAAAAAGCATCATTCTTTGCAACCTTTTTTTTTTTAACATGTCAATCTGCAGATTTTTATATTACGAAATGAAAAGGCCAGATTTTAGGGCAGTCTCTGAAATACTTATAAGACAGTCAGGCCAGCAGGTCCCAGGCCTCTCCATCCCCTCCATGCTCCATAATACCTTGTGCTTATCTCCATCACTGTACCTTTCATGAAATTAGGAGAAGGCCTTATAATTAGAGACTGCTTGCATGTCACAGTGGCCTTTCACACCCCTTACTTGATCCTCACCCCACACCAATAAGGTAGATGGAACAAGTCGTGTGTTCACTGCAGGTGAGGGACCAAGATGCAGGGATGAAGAGCCGAGATCCTGTAGCTATTGAGGTCAGGAAGGTCAAGGTCTCTGACGCTGACTGGCTTCTCTGGTACCTACTACACCACACTTCCCTCATTTTGTTCTTACTGCAGGCATAATAAATCACTAACATGAATCACTGTCTGAAAGTATAGCCCCATGATGTCCAATCTAGAATTGGTATTGATCCTGTCAGCTTAAATATACCTGAGTTACTTGATTTCTTGGAATTCTATTAGAAACTTAGTTACTTAACCAAAAGTTTTACGAGGACCTCTCAATACCTAATAACCGTTGTTAGATTTCTTTCCTTAGAACTAGGGCTGCCTGTAGGTTTGTCACAGTGTACATGCTCCTTTTTATCACGAAATCATTAGCACTTGGTTTCAGTTAGTCTGAAACACTTTCATCTCTTTTCTTTCCATTTCCTAGCAGGCGTGCCCATAGCTCCTTCACGCTGCCAGTCCCAGACTGGTTAATGACAGAAGGTACCAACTGACAGCAGCAAACAGACCTCCTATCTCTGTGCTAAGTTTTTGTTGATATCCTTCAGCACGGAGTGTGGAAAGCATTTCCATTTCAAATGATTTGGAGTTTTAAATTTTCCAGTCCTAGTTTGTAAAACCCACACATGGATGCCTAAGAAAGTGGTCATTACATCTGTTTCGCTGTTTCACTTTCCTTAAATCAGCTCATCTTACTGGCTCTCTAAAAACAGCCATGGTGGTGGTCTGCCTTGAGCCGCAGAATTCATAACTTCATGTTATATAACAGCTGTTCCATTGGCCTGAATTTCTTTTTGTTCCTCTTTTGCTTAGTTTCTAATTCAAAGGGATTTTTAAAATATTAGTTCATATGGGAATAAAGCGGAATAAAATCCTACTAACCTACGTGATTCTATTGGGGAAGGCTAACCTAAATTTGTATTTATGTGTATTTAAGGGTATTTTTCAAAGTAATAAAAATATTTGGTTTCAAGTACACATGAACTAGGACTATCCTAGTGTACTGTACAAAAGTCTATAAGGGAAAGATTTTAAGTAAATAAGAAGGATTTGTATTACTTCTTACATGTAAATGAGTATTTAAAAATCACTTGGATGAGAAATATTTTCTTACTATATATTTTAAATCTTCTCCCCACAATTCTGTTAATACTATTGTTTAGCAAATTTTGTTTAAAAAGAAAACGGTGTATCTCAAAAAGTGGTGAGGTTGCAGATATAGCGTGTGAAAATTAACTCAATTATGACTGGGGTCAGAATTCAAAAAGGTTTGCTCTCTCCTGGATTCAGAGAGGTGATTTTTGAAGACATCCCAGTTGCATGATTGCATCTTAATGTTGAGACCCTCAGCTGTTCATACACTCATAAGCTGAGCCCAAGAGGCTGAACCAATTCATATGTCCTGTACAAAATTATAGTGAAGAAAAACTGTTGTTTGCAAAGCTTTCTAAGATGCTGTATTGATCTCAGTGGTGGCTCCTGGGGGCTCTCACATCCTACAGAGAAAAGCCAGGCTGGAAACAGTCGAGCGCATGTCTCAGTGACTTGCCCCCCCAGCATGCAGGAATCCGGGCTGCGTGGTGTCACTGGTGTTTATCACTCAGTGTGGTAGAAGGGACACAGTCTCACAATCTCACTTTTATTTTCCTCTCCCACTCCTAGCTTGAATTTAAGTTTGAATGTGGTATGTTTTGTGGGTATGGAGTGACCAGCCAGCCCGGTTTGTTGGGAACTGAGCAGTTTCCCAGAATATGGGACTTTCAGTGCAAACACCAGGAAAATACAGGACAAACCAGGACAAGTGGGTCATCCTATGTGTGTAAGTAATGGGAGGTCCCTGAGTAATAGATTTAACCAGGTTTGCACTTTTCTTTCTTAACATAATGATACACTAATCCCATGTCTACTGTAATCAGGATTGAAGGGGACTTCAAGGAGAATTGGCTAAATAAGGCAGCAGGGTGATACGGTGGAGAGACCAGGCCTCGGAATTTTCACTTCTGGCTTTACCTCTTTTGCTTGATGTTCTCGAACAAGATGCTTAATAGTAGATGCTTCATAAATTGTAGTTATTATTGTTACAAGGGGTACATGTCTTAATGGACCAGGGTCAAAATTGATCAGCTGTCTCTGTATTCTTGGTTCAGCTCCAGAGGATGTTGGAGCCAGAGTTCAGGAGAATGATGGGGTGGACCTCAGGGCGGTCTAAGTTTTAGCCAGGTGATCTGGGAGGCCCATCACATGCACTCCAGTAGCAGTCTGGCATACCCTTCTCAGGGCACTGCTCGTACTGCACTGTAATGATCATTTAGGTCTCCCCCTCTGTGGTGTTGGGGGGAACTCCTCAAGGAAAGGCACTTGTATTATTCATCTCCAAGCTCCCTAAAAGTTAACACAGGGCCTGGCATCACAGTAGGTACTGCATAATGTGGATGGATGGGTGAGTGGATGGATGGATGGGTGGGTGGATGGATGGATGGATGGGTGGATGGATGGATGGATGGATGGATGTTTGGATGGATGCATAGATGGATGGGTGGGTGGATGGTTGGATGTATGGATGGAGAGATGAAGGGGTAAATGGATGGATGGGTAGATGGGTGGATAGATGGGTGCCCTCAGTGGGCCAGTGTCTTGCAATTCTTTCTTTTCCTATGGAATAAAAATGGAATTAATGAGTATGGAGGTGCTTTGACAAGGGAAGCACTTTGTGAGCACCCCTGTAGTGACATTTTTTAGGTCTCTGATTTTCTCTTAGCAGCCTCACCAGGTGCTCACAGCATGGGAATGGGATTCATAGCGCTGCTCTAAATTCACGTACAGAGTCCAGCAAGCTTACAGTTTTCAAGATCACTAATGTCCTTCCTCTCACCTGCATTGCTTGATGATTTCTGTCAAGCACATTTTCTGTGGGCATACAAATGTGGTGTTGTCACAGGAAGCCTAGCTGCCGAAGTTGTCCCGCGCAACTGGAGCACGTTTTCAGGACTCTACCTGAGATGAACATCTTGCACTTTTTCTAGTTTTTTTGAGCATCTCCATGTTTCCTCTTTTCTTTCATAGGCTAAAGTGGCCAGTTTAACGTATTAGCCAAATTATTGAAATAAGGTTTTTTTTAAATGTGTGTGCTTAAGTTGTGCCTCATTAGAAATTTGGCTGTTGGATATTCATTATTAGCCAAGTTGACGATTCTTCCGATGTTGTCCTAATGTACCCCAGTGATGCCAAGATTTCTAGCACTTCTGTTTGTTTCTTAGTGCTGTGGCTACCAGTTAATAATCAGTTGAAGAGGCTAAGGTAGGGCCTTTGGTCAGAACTATTCTTATCCACACCCTGAGTTCACCAGACCATTGTCAGCTTTTCACTTGGTTGGTGTTGGGTAGAAACAACCGTGATTTGATTTAACTTCATTTGTAAAAACTCTAGACTGTGCTGAGAAAATTATAGCTCTGTGGAATTCTTTTTGAGGGTTGTAGAAAGCTGGTTTAATTGTGAAAGAAGATGAGATAAAATAAATAATGCTAAATTCAAAGTCTCTTCATAATCCATTTTGTATTCATTTTCCCTGAATAACTGGGAGAGACAGAAACCATGACATTCCAATCTCACTTTTTATGAACACCAAAGAAAAATATTCTTTGATGTATAAATTCATGGAAAAACCAATGCCTGTCAAGTAATAAAAACTGGGGCATGCTGAGTAGGCCTCTGCTAGAAATAAGACATCTCAAAGGGCAACACAGGCAAATCCTCCGCCTCAGCCTCTTAGACTAAAGTGAGAAGAGTCCTAAGACAGTGTCTGGAGGCAAACTTACTAGTGAAGATTCCCCAGGGATGGGAGTTTTGCTCTTAAGGTTAAAAAAAGGACAGAGAACATCCCCCACCCCCTAGTTCCCCCCAGTTGCTTGTGGTAAGATACAGTTGACTTCCACATAAAAGCAAGAATGACGTGTCTGCCATCCAGTAGGAGGTCAGCATAGCCTCTTCCCATTGGTGTCAAAAGCCAGTTGATAGACTAAGTCTGGTGTCTGGCCACAAAGTCTTACATGTCTTGGTTGCATGTAATTAGTTAAACTGCATGGAACTTAGTAGAAGCTTCAAAAGACTGAATGAATATCCTCCATTTCTCTCTATAGTTCATCAAAAAACCAAAACCTCATTTTACAAGCAAAGCCGGGCCTTTGATTTTCATATGGTTTCTCTGAAATCCAGAAATTTGGATAAAGTAGTGTTAAGACCAAGCGAAAACTTAACCAAAGCAGCTGTCGCCTTGCCAAGTATGCTCACAGCCTCACCGTGTCCCAGCGTGACACGTGGACCTCTCCTGCTCAGCCCAAGGGAGGCGTCTGCTGGGGAGGTCAGACCTCGGGGCCTGTGGCTTCTTCAGCCCCAGGCTCCTTCTCAAAGTCAAGCCCATTGCCTGCCATTTCAGATGCTAAACAAAACAGAGACATGCTCCTGTGTCATTCCCATGTACAGTGGCAAGAGGAAACATGCATGCCATTTGTTCGAGGACAGAGGAGAAGAGTTTAAATGAAACATTAAATAGTTAAATTAAATATGGGGCCTTGGTAACATAATTAATAAGAACCTACTGTATAGCACAGGGAACTCTACTCGATACTCCGTAATGACCTATATGAGAAAAGAATGTAAAAAAGAGTAGACATATGGATAACTGATTCACTTTTCTGTACAGCAGAAACTAACACATTGTAAATCAACTATACTCCAATGAAAATTAATTTAAAAAAATATGGGGCCTTGGTATAAATAAAAATACAAATGGGAGTACTTGTTTGACATGGAAAGTAACAATGGCCTCTCTTATGTACTAATAGCTGCAAATGCTTTTTCAGGGCCCACAGCCTGTCACCTACGGATCACCAAGCAGCTTTCTACCTGGCTCTGCAGCTTGCCATCTCCAGACAGGTCAGTTCTCCAATGTTCCCACACTTGGTGCCTGTTCCATCTTGATACAGTTTGAGGGAGTAGCTGACCTGCTTTCCTTCACCTGAGGCTGACCTGGAGCCAGGGACTCTCCTCAGAGGCCGCTGCCTCCTCACAGCGAAGACCCTGGTGTTTCGGTCAATTGGAGCACCAGCTGTGAAGACACAAGGCAGGCAGGCTCTGCTTTTGGAGATTAAATCTGCAAATCTGGAGGGCCCCACCTGGGGTCAGATGGCAACAGGGGATGCAGCACATGATGTAGACCCTGACGGAGGAGTCCTCAGACAGCCTTTGTCCCTTGCTAACAGAGCCCAGTGGTGAGCTGCATGGTGGGGATTTAGTCACTGGTGAGGCCTGGTCGTCATAAGGGTATCAGTGATTGACAGGAAGATGCCAGCGAGTGTAGACAAAAGAGACCAGTTCCTTTCAAATATGTAGAAGATATGAACAATTACACACAGTGTCTCCTCGAAATAGGAGACTCGACAGTATTCTCCTTGCTGGAGGTGCAAGCTTTGTTGGCCTTCATCTTCCCAGCGGTAGCTTCCAGAAGCTGCCTTTGCCATTCTCATACCCTCCCGTTCCCTCCCAGCTGTTCAGGAGACTCCGGCCCCATGTCTGCCTGCCCACCACGTGCAAGACACTGGTGGTAACCCCAGCACAATCCTAAGTGCTGACTGGAGGGTGAATCGAAGGTCAGTTCCCCAGACATGCCATTCCCCTGGCAGGCCTGGGCTGTCCACATGTATCTGACTTCCCGGAGGCCAGGGAATGCTGCCAAGAAGTGGCTCCCCTTGGCGACCTGGGGACCAAGGAAACCAAGAGAGCTCACCTGGCACGGTGTGGCTCACAGCTGGCCTGACCACAAGCTGCTGCAGAGACAGCTGTGGGCGGGTGACCGCCCATCCAGTCTCTCTCCTCCTCCAGGAGCTCCGCTCGCCTCCTCCTTGAAGCCCCCTTCCCATAGCAGCCCGTTCCTCTGCTTCCTCTTGCCCAGCTCTCTTGTTCAGTATCTTTCTCACTAGACCTTAGGTTCCCTGAGGGCAGGAACCCACATCTGTCATCATTGCTTTGCGCTGGCAGCGGGGACACTGCCTGGCACGTGGTAGGCCCTCACTAATACTCATTGAATGAAGGAACCAGCTTCGAATTCCTTCAAGTCCGCCCAGCCCTTAAGGACCTCACTTTGCACCCTGTATCAGTTTTTTCCTGATTACACTAGTCATCCCTAAAAACGGATATCATGAGTGTACCTGCCTTTTGACCCTCCCAGAATACCTGTGCTGTTTACACAGCAGCCTGTGCCCCTGGGGAGGGGCGCAGTAGATGGAGCCTTCTGGGTTCACTTCGTGAAGTGACGTGTAGGGCCGGATGATCTCTTCCTGCTGTGATAGCTGGGATTCTACGGCTCAAAACAGAAAGCCTCTGTAACCAGCATTTTTAACTTACATGCATCAAAAATGGTATTTCGGAGAGGAAAACGAATAGATTTGGTAAAGACAGAAGTCACGGTTTCCTACTAAGGAGCGATGTTACTGAGGGTTTGGGAAGAAGCAGGAGAGCTGAGAAGAGGTCCAGCCAGGGCCCGGAGTTGGAGGGGAGACAGAAAGGAGTCCCTGGGGTGACCGTGTAAGAATGCTTCAGTCTTGAGCCTGTTTTGAAATCCAGCTTCAGGTTCTAATCCTCCCTAGGTACTGTTAAACCTGCATAGAATCTCGGGTGTTCAGATACCCGTTATGTATGCATTTTATCCACCCTTGTGCTTGGGTGATTTTGAAGAAAGTCTTGAAGAGCTGTTGGATTTTGAAGGTTAAGGTTGTATCTGATCCTACTTAAATTTGGACACACCTGCTGTGTATGTGGCATTGCAGTTTGTTTCTTGGGTGGAGTTCCTTTGGATTGTAGTTTGGAAAGGTGTGGGGTTGGTTAATTTGTTTGCATAGTTCCTTGATGTCTAACGGAGATGCAGGACAAAGGGACTTGAAAAGAATCACAGGTGTCTGATCCTTTGGAAAGCTCTGTTTAAGGTTCTGAAACTTATCAAGCAGTTTAATTTCAGTACTACTTAAAAAATCAGAACAGTTCAGCTAAGTCAGTTTCATTCCAATAAAAACTGCTGGGAATTTGTTATGTGTCTCCATTTAGAGTGAAATTATCTTGGGCATAATCGAAAGTAAATCAGTTTTGTGGAAAAAGAGACAGATTATTTAGGGAGAAGTAAACGATTTGGTATTGGCAGTTATACTGAGAAACAGAGTCTCTTGTATCACTTCATTAGTCATACTGTTGCTTGAAGGGGGCCTCTGTTTTCGTGTTTGTGGTTAATATCCTGGGGCTGCCGTGAAGATGGCTTAAAATCTGAGTGTGGCAAATGGTGAAACAACTCCTGATATATACAGAGAATCAGATACTGAAATGGTGGCTCTATGTGTGTGTGTGTGTGTGGTGTGTGTGTGTGTGTGTGTGTTTACAAATTCTTTCTGGTTTTGTTTTAAACCAGATACCAGAGGCTCTGGGGTATGTCCGCCAAGCTCTTCAACTTCAAGGCGATGATGCCAACTCCCTGCACCTCCTTGCCCTCCTGTTGTCAGCACAAAAGCATTACCATGATGCTCTGAATATCATTGACATGGCCCTGAGTGAATATCCAGAAAATTTTATGTAAGTGATACTAGACTTGCTTTTCCTTATACAGAAGGTATTGAATTTACTTCTCCCAATCTATCTAAGTCCTTCATGCACTTCCTGGTGGTAAATAGTACAGAATCCCCTTTACTCTTGTTTTTTCATGATATTTAGAAACAAACATAGTCTTCAGGTCAACCTGAGTTGAAATACTTTATCCATTCTTTCCCATTGTGTACCTTTGAGACATACAAGATGATTTTAAATGCATTGTGGATGAACATTTTTATTTTAATAGCTATGCATTTTAAAATGTACATTAGAGAAAATACAGCTGCCTATCAAAGTGTGATTTCATAGAAACTATTGCTCAGAGGGAGACTAAGAATTTTTAAATGAGTTGTTTTAAAGTGAATTTAAAGGGAAATATTAATATACATGGATATGGCAAAAGCTATGTTGAACAAACTCCAATGACTGAAATTTGGGGAACATTGCTTTGTAGCTTGTTTGTCCCACGTTACATAAAGGACTCCCATTACTTCCAGGTGATTACTATATTTTAGGTAACTTTGATCTGGATACCTGACCTCTTTGTGTCTTAGGTTTATTCTCTAGGAAATGGAATTCCTTAAATCAATCAGCAGTGTTTGTTCGTAACCTAATTGTCATTACACACTGCCATGTGCTGGAATTGTCTGCTTCTTCACCTCTTCCCTCTGAATCCCTGAATCCAGGCCTGTTGATTAGGCTTTGTTGAGAAGGACATTGTCTTTTGGGCTACTCATTTTATCCTCAGTGGAGTAGCTTAGTAACCAGTACACAGTGGCCAGAAACAGTAAACAGTCCCGCAGGCTGGCAGGTTCTCATTGTCTAAGTGGCAGGGTCAGCAGTGGGCGGGGGCGGCCTGGGGCAGGGGGAGAAGGGAAGGCAGGCTCTCTCCACTTCCAGAAATAATGCAAATTTTAAGTGGACCCGCCTTGGCTTTATTTCTCTGCCTCATCACCTCACTGTGGTTTTAATCAGTGCGTTTCAGCAAACTCCGCTCAGAAAATCGGTTCACACGTTTCCATTACAAACATTTCTTTGTCTTCAAGTGAAAAGGGCACTTCTCTTCTCCCCATCGAGAAAATTCTCATTATAATCCAGGAAACCTCTGACTAGAGATTTCTCTTGTAGGTTCAGCTATTTATGCAGAGTGAATTAAAGAGCTTTGCCACTTGCTCACGGAGTACATCTCAAAATGCACACGGAGTGCATTTCTGGATTTTATCCAAAGCTGGTTAGCCCGTGGAACCGTCAAGTGGTTAAAGCACTTTCAAAAATACTCGGCCCTTTAGCCCTCAGTAGAGTAGAGCCTGATGCAACTGAATTCAGTTTCTCTCATCAATACTCTTATAAAGTGGCTGCCCCTGCCTCCCAAGCCCAGCACCTTCATTGGATGTTTGTTAGATGTTAGACTCCAGCGTGTGGCCCTTGCGTAGACAGCCTGGGGTGTCATCTGAGAGGAGAGGAGGCTTATTAAACTAACAGCCACACTGCACGGTAAGCAGTAAACAGTGGTGGCTAATATGGTAATGCCTCCAAGTGACAGCAGCTGACAGCCTTTTCAAGTAGTAGAAGTAAGGAACAGCAGTAGAGGTATTTGAGGAATGCGAGCCTGTTATTTTAATGTTAAGCTGTAAGCTCAAAAAAGCAAAGCATATGGCAGCAGGGCTGAGAGCCTCTGATGACTTGCTTGCTTTTTAAATATTTGTATTTCTTCCTTTGTGATGGGAAACTTCTTCCTCCCAAGAATACTTTATTAAAAGTTGGGGCCAGATATAGTCAGTGGATCCCATGGTTTCTTCCCAACCTGGCTGAAACATTTCAACACCAACCTAAATGAGATTACGTGGGCACCTGTCCCAACTGCCATGTAGCATTATCCGTATGTTTGTGACAAGCTTGTCTCCAGAGAGCTGCAGACTTTCGGAAGCCTGGGATGTCCTCGTGTCTCTCGTGTCCCAGCAGCCACAACCTACCACAGACTGAGTATGTAGTGGATGTTCCCTCGGCCCCTTCCCTCTGCTAGGGTCAGGCCTGTCCGACTGTTGAACCAAGAAGTGATTTCACTAGCCTCTTAGCCTGATGCAGAGAATTACAGAGCTTTTTGGTCTCCATTAAACGTATTCAAGATACTTAGCCACCATCTTTTATCACTTCATGGTGACAGTAAGGACGGGTAACCCTGGAGAAACCAGGGGCTCCCCCAGGGGCAGTGAGCTGTCCTGGTCAGTGCATTGAAGGCATTCATACGTGGTGATCACTCAGTAATTGAGAGGCATTCATATTAATAGTATTACTACTGATACAGTGTCTTCAAATGTAATATTTTAGAATCCTTTAAAATGATTAAATATTGAGTAGAAGCAAAAGACTATTTATTAAATCTATTCAAAATAATAATACAACTAACCTATGTATACCCACTTCTTAACTTAAGAAAAAGAACATTAATGTTGCCTGTGAATTTCCTGTGCACTCCTGCTGTCCTCTTCCCTGACCTCTCCCTGCACGGGTTAACCACCATCCTGAATTCTAAAAAAATTTTTAATGATCTCCTTACACCACTCGCTTTCATTGCTTAACATTGTGTTTCTGAGGGTCATCCTTCTTGCATACAACAGCAATTTATTCATTTATACTGACAAATAGTACTTTATTGTATAAATATACCACGATTTCTTTTTCTAGTTTACCGTAAGCGGATATGTGGGTTGTTTTCAGTTTTCAGCTGTTACACGAACGATGCTGCTGTAAATATCCTTGCACAGTCCTCCTGGTGCCCATGTGCAAGTATTTCGTCAGGTAGACACCTAGGAGCGGAACTGTTGAGTCATAGGGTGCGTGTATCTTCAGTTTTACCAAATAATTCCAAACTGTTCTCCATAGCGGTTGTGTCCGTTTACATCTCCAGCAGCAGTGCCCACGGGCCCACGCAACTCCAGACACCAACACTTGGTGCCCTCAGACTTGTTGGCTGCTGGTTGATGGTATTACACTGGGAGTTTAAGCTGCATGTCCTCATTATTAATGAGGTTGAACACCTTGTTCATGTGTTCATTGGTCGTTTAGCTTTTCTCTTTTATGAGGCACATGTAGAAGTCTTTCTTCTTTTCTAATCTGGTTGTCCATTTCATACTAATTTGTAAGATTTCTTTATGTTATGATTAAAAATGCTTTTGTTGGTTATATGCATTGTAAAAAGCTTCTCCCAATCTGTGTCTTGTCTTTCCTTTCTCTTAATGATATCTTTGGATGAACAGAAGTTCTTAATTTTAAAGTATAGTTGAATGTATCAATCATATCCATGGGTAGTACTTCTCTGTCTAGTTTAAGAGACCTTTCCTAAGTTATCTTCTCAAGCTCTCTCATGTTATCTTTCATCCTTGAGGCTAGGAGTCCATCTGGAATTGACTGTTTTATGTATGTGAGGTGTAAGGGATCCAGGGTAATTTTTTCCCATGTGGATACCCAATTGTCCAGCCACATGTATTGAAAAGATTCCTTTTGCGGTTTCTCCCCAGGGCCACTTTTGTCTTAAACCAAACGTCCATCTGTGTGAGGAGTTGTCTGTGAGCTTTCCACTTGGTTCCATGGGTTCAGGGTGCCCACCTCTGTGTGATTGCCTCTCTATCGTCATCCTTTTTTTTTTGTTTGTTGTGGTTTTGGGTTTTTTTGCGGTACGCGGGCCTCTCACTGTTGTGGCCTCTCCCATTGCGGAGCACAGGCTCCGGACTCGCAGGCTCTGTGGCCATGGCTCACGGGCCCAGCCGCTCCGCGGCATGTGGGATCTTCCCGGACCGGGGCACGAACCCGCGTCCCCTGCATCGGCAGGCGGACTCTCAACCACTGCGCCACCAGGGAAGCCCCTCTATCGTCATTCTTACAACTTTATTATACATGAGGTCAGTCCACCCCTGTAACTTGCTCCTCAGGGATATCCTGGCTGCCCTCAGGCCTTTGAGCCTCCATATAAATTTTCAAATTGGTTTTTTCACGTTCCACCGAAAAAAATCTGTTGAGATTTTGATTGGAATTACATTTAATCTAATAGCTTAGTTTGGGGAAAATTAGATATCTCTAATTATTTAGGCCTTTAGAAAATACTTTTTAAATGAAGCTTTATAATTTTCTTTATAAAGATTTTGTTGATGTTTACTAGGTTTATTCCTAGTTACCTGAAAAAAATTCCATGCTTTTCTATTTAAACCTCTATTAAGAGTTTAGGGAAATTTCCTTCTTCCAAGAAGGCTTGCTAAGAGTTTTTTTTTTCATCATGAATTGATATTGAATTTTATCAAATGTTTTTTCAGTATTTATTGAGATGATTATATGATTTTACTCCTTTAATCTGTGAATGTTATATTAATTGATATTTTTAAATGTTAAATTAACCTTGCATTCTTGGAATAAGCCCAACATCATCATGATCTATTCGTTTTTTAATGGATTCAGTTTACTAGTTTTTTTAAAGAACATTTACATTTATGTTCATGTGTGAACTAGCTTGTAATTTTCCTTTCTCATTATATCCTTGTCAGGTTTTGGCATCAAGGTTAGGCCGGCCTCATAAAATGAGTTGGACTAGCTCTTTTTTGTGTGTTTTGGAATCTTTGTGTAAGATGTGAATTATCTGTTCCTAGAATAATAAGTTTGGGTAGAATTTGGCTGTAAAACCATCTGGGACTGGTCTTTTTTTCCATGGAAGGACTTCTGATGCTTTTTAAAAATGATTATAGTATATTCAGGTTTTTCTACTTCTTATTTTATTAAGCTATGTTTGATATACTATATATATTTTAAGAATTTGCCCATTTAATCTAAGTTCTAAATTTTATTGCCATAGAGTAGTTTATAATGTTTTTAAACTATTTATTGTCATACAGCATCTGTGGTTAGGTCTTTTTCTTTCCTCATTGCTGTTTAATGTGCCTTTTTTTTTTTCTTGAACAGTCTCGCCAGAAAACTGTCTGAAACATTGATCTTTTCAA